ATTTATTGAAAAAAAATAGGTGTTTTAACAATTTTAACAATTAATTCCTACAATTTAATAGCTAAGATTAATGTAAGTTAATTTCAAAAAATAGAGTGTAATATAAAGATAACAAATTTCAGTATAATAAGCTAATAATAATTTTTGTACGAAATTTTAAGGTTTTCTAAACCTAATTCATGAGAGGATGTCATGTGTCATCTATTCTTTTGATTTGTCTTTTTGATTTATTTATTGAAAATAAAAATAAAATTAAGTGTTTTAATAACTTTAACAATTAATTCATACAATTTCATAACTAAAACTAATGTAAGTTAATTCCAAAAATTAAAGTGTAACATAAGAATGACCAATTTCAGTATAATAAGCTAATAATACTTTAACCGTTATCTTTTTTTTCTTTAATATCCACCAAAAATTATAATTCTAAATTAAATGTGTTATTGTAAACTTTTAACAGTTTAAAAAAAATATATATTATTTATTAAATCCAACAAAATAAAGTCACAAAAATCTTTAATAAAAAGAATCGTAACATTAACAAAAAAATGGTGGGAGAAAATTAATCAGTGATTTTAGAAATTTTAAAGTTGTTAGAATGCTAAATTTGTCAATCATCTCCGAACCAATAATTCAGAAAAACATAATAATTCACTAATGAATCGATATGAAAGATAAAAATTGTAGCAAAGCGATAAAAAAAAGTAAGACAAAAAAAAATAATCAAGCATCAATTATTCTATCCTTACAATTTAAGGTTCTAACGAAATTAAACACAAAAATGCATTCCAAAATCTCTATCAGGATGATACAGATGTCTCACTACAAGCAAAACATGTTACAACTTGTCTGATCAATAGATTTTTTTTACAAAGATATTTGATGCAAGAAAAAATACGACTAATCATTTTTTAGGAGACCGTAGTGAATATTGATAAAGACATACAAGTTGCGGATTTGTGAAAAAAGAAAATATCTTCCATATGCATACACTGTAACTTTTCACATAATATTTTATATGTCCAACAATTTGCTCCAGATGTTTAATCTTCTAACCTAGATAATTATTTACTACAACAATAACTTTTGTAATATTTTTGTTTTCACTGAAAATATATATTAATAAACCAAGATTACAACATACAACAAAACCAAAAAATCCACTGTAATAAAGCCGACGGAAAACAGACTACCCAGAGACTAAGCCGATGAATACAAAATAAACATCCCCAGAGACAAAGCTCTATGGAGAGAGAGCCAGATAAGGAAGGAGACTAATCAGGAAAAGGAATCAAAACCTAGTACATACACTGAGCTACTTAACCACAATACACAATAATCTTTTTGTAATATTTAATACACAATAATCTATAAGCTAGAATTATTGAATAGTTTATCATGTTAATTTTTAAAATCCACGTAACGTGTGGACAATTTCTAGTAAAAGATATGCAGAGGCAAGACATTTTCTTCTTAATCTTATAAACACTCCATAATTTGATGGTTGAACGACAATGCAAATTTCAAGATATAACAGCTACTTCTACCGTTTTACCTATGAGTACTCTTACAGAGAAAAACAAATGGATGGAGAGAAAGAAGAAGAGATTTTCATTATCACCATGAATAAGAGAGATCACATTTTTTTTTTCTTTAAGAAACCAAAAACATTTTGAGTAGCTTTATTTTTCGTGTTCAACAGAAATTATTTTGTAAGCAACTGTCCAATAATTCATGGAATATCATTTATGTTTGCAGTCAGTCTGTACTCAATAAATGAAACCTAGTACTCATTTGTGAAACTGAAAGTTATGATGGAGTGGAGGG